GTGGGGGAAACCGGAGCACCCGGAGGAAATCAACGCAAACGTAGGGAGAACATGCAAACTCCATACAGAAACACCAATTGAGCCGAGGTTCGAATCAGCGTCCTTTTTGCTGTGAGGCGACAGCACAACCTACTGCGCCACTGCTTCGCCCTTAGTTGTAAATTTATTTTAAGAAAATTAATCACTTAAAATATAGATTGCATTACTTTTAAATGTCAAATAGATGATTGAGTGATATAAAAAACAGCAATATAAATAAAAGTAGAAAGGGTGGATTTCAGGCCCCATGGCTGGAATTGAGGGCCTCAAATTCACTAAATCCACCCCTGGTTGAGGCAAAGACTGTTATTTTGGCTTTCATCCCTTTTTGTGGTCTTCAAAATTAATAAGAGTGATATTAGTTTTGGAGTGACAAAATAGCCATAATGTACAGTAATAATTTTTGTCCTTCATCATACCGCATATTCAACTCAGAGAGCTGTACAATTGAAAAATCACAAACACATGTAACTTTCCTGGTTAATAATTTGCTTGGCCGTTTAAAAAGAAGGTAAAGAGTGCTGGAGTTTTACCATTATGTTTTTTTTCATTATTGAGAAAGATTAAAACAGGTAGTGAGAGGAAATAAACAGAGCTTGTTTGATAAGGGTTGGGCAAATGCCTCCCAGCGTTAGGCTGTACATAGGAAGTTTGCATTGTGCTGTAAGCATAAATCAGTAGCATATGTGACATGCAATGTGCTGAGTTCTAAAAGCAGTTCATGGTGATACCAACAGACGGCAGTAGTCACTGCTTTCTGTCATTCCTTAATTTGTCAGTTATTGGTTTTAGATGATAGTGTGTGATTACTTTTAAATCTTTGCATTTCCACTCTAAAGCTCAACATTAATAAGAACAAACTGTTTGGATAATTGTCAGGGCTGTTGCAGGCTGACCTTAAGCATGTTGTTAGATGGGATGTTAAGCTCGCTGTTAGGACCCACCAGTGCAGAGTTATGCAATAATCTGCTCTATGATTCACAAGGAATTACTGCCTGAAGTCTGAGCTGGTATAGTTTTCAGATGGCAGAGCAGAGGATTGGGAAATGATGCGGCACATTTGCGTATATCTTAGTTATGCAAGTGTTAAACACAGGCGATAATGACTGGGAGACATGGGGGAGATATAGCAGCACAGTTTATGATCGAAACATAAATTTCCTGTAAATAAAGAAATTAGGCAAATTCTGTTAAAAATAAGGTCTCAATAAATGTGGGGAAAACAGATTTGTTTTCATAAAGTTTTGCAAAAGAATCTGATTATTGCAATAATGTTTAATTGTTATCGTTTTATTATCATATTTAAACATGAAAAATACTACTATAAAAATAATAGACTTTGTAATGTTTATTAATCAGCACATTAGTGTTTTATTATTATACATTTATTTAATTTTTATTTATTTATTTAATTTATTTTAATTATATACTGATTACTTTCTTGTTTTTCCTGATAAAAGTTTTTAAATCAAGATTCTATATTTTATCGAATTAGATTAAATAATCATTAAATAAAAAAATAATATGAACTGAAGTCATAATTGATTGTTGTACTATATTATAACTGTCTTTTACAGCTGTGGTGAACAATCGTTCAAGAAATCAATTCTGCATTTATTCTGTGGTTTTCAAAATGCATCACTTTTCTCTCTTAAATCTATTCTGAGCTTAGTTTTTAACAGCAGATGACACTAGAGCTAGGCTAGCATTTGTTTTTAAACCATATACTCAAACGCTCATGAGGTAGAGTTATAAAAAGATCAATACAAACACAGCTCACTTGTAATTCACTTAAACTTGTCCTAACTTTATCAATGATTATTATAGATTCTAGTGGTATTTGTAAGAAATTAGATGCAAGCACAGTATAGCTGTTTGTAAATCAATTCAAGAGAGAATAGTGATGTGGTTTGACAATCTTGATTTTTAGCCACAGCTCTACTGTCTTTATTGTATTATTAGTATTTTTAAATATAAAATGATTTAAAGTTAATGTAAAAAATTGGAGTAAATGACAATACTCTGTTCTTTTATCCTATAACAATGAATTAATAAAACATCAGAAATGTATGCCTTATTTTTCTAAACTTTCTCTGTATATTGTTCAGCAGAAAATATCTGTGACAATGTTATTAATAAAAGTTTTATTGAAAAGCTATTTTCTTTATTTTTGGTGATTTATAGTCAGTGATGAGTATTAATGAGTTAGCTTAGATCTGTTAGCCTCACTTGATCTAATGCATGTCCTGATTCTCTCTTTCTTTGTGTTTGCTGTCTTGCAGGAATGCAAACTCTTGCCATTTCTAGACCAGAAGCCAGAGACATCCTCCCCAAAATAACTATTGTGCTTCATGAGAGCACCGTTGGACTAACATCCAAATCAAATACCAAACAAAGACCAAATAGTAATTCATCTAACAGATGACGGATGCTTCCGTTTCCTTCTAGAAAGACAGCAAACCAAAGGAATAAGCGATTATATGTGCATTTGCTAGAATCTTTACTAAAATAAGCAATTAAAACGATTCCATTTTGACTGTAATAATAACGTAAACATGTTAAAAACAGGACCAGCAATGGAGGCGGCGGATATTACAGTTGTTGCACTTTATTTTGTCCTTGTGCTCGTAATTGGCCTGCTCGCCATGTGGAAGGCCAACCACAGCACAGTCAGTGGCTACTTTCTGGCAGGTCGAACAATGAACTGGGCGGTAATAGGTGCCTCACTCTTTGTCAGCAACATTGGTAGCGAGCATTTCATTGGACTGGCTGGTTCCGGTGCAGCAAGTGGTTTTGCAGTGGCCGCCTGGGAGTTTAACGCCCTCCTGCTTCTGCAGCTGCTCGGCTGGGTGTTCATTCCAGTTTACATCCACTCTGGAGTTTACACCATGCCAGAGTACCTTTCCAAGCGCTATGGAGGCAAGCGGCTGAAGATTTACTTTGCAGGCCTCTCACTTCTACTGTACATCTTTACTAAACTCTCAGTGGATTTGTATGCGGGAGCTCTTTTTATTCAGGAGTCTCTTGGCTGGAATCTCTACCTGTCGATCATCTTGCTCATCAGCATGACCGCCTTGCTGACAGTGACCGGTGGACTGGTCGCGGTGATCTACACAGACACTCTACAGGCCGTGCTTATGATTGGTGGCGCGCTCACCCTTACCATCATCAGCCTGATCAAGGTGGGCGGTTTGGAGGGGGTGCGGGAAAAGTACATGGAGGCAGTTCCCAATGTCACAGCCATCCTGGCTAGCAGCAACTTTAGCTTTGAGTACACAAACTCCTGTCGAATCTATCCCAAGCCAGATTCCCTTAAGCTCCTACGAGGACCACTTGATGAGGACATACCCTGGCCAGGCTTCCTGTTGGGTCAAACACCCTCATCCATTTGGTACTGGTGTGCTGACCAGGTTATCGTCCAGAGAGTGTTAGCCGCCAAGAATATCGCTCATGCCAAAGGCTCCACACTTATGGCAGGAGTGCTCAAGATCCTTCCCATGTTCATCATCGTTATTCCAGGAATGATCTCCCGGATTTTGTTCCCAGATGAGCTGGCATGCATTGGACCCGAGCACTGTATGGCTGTGTGCGGCAGTCAAGCCGGCTGCTCCAACATCGCCTACCCTCGGCTGGTCATGAGTGTAATGCCGGTGGGTCTCAGAGGCCTGATGATGGCTGTGATGATCGCCGCTCTCATGAGCGACCTGGACTCCATTTTTAACAGCGCAAGCACCATCTTCACTTTAGACATTTATAAAATGCTGCGCGCACGTGCCTCCTCACGGGAGCTGGTGGTGATCGGCAGGATATTTGTGATCTTCATGGTTGCTATCAGCATCGCTTGGGTGCCAGTCATTATTGAGATGCAAGGCGGCCAGATGTACCTGTACATCCAAGAAGTGGCAGGATACCTCACGCCTCCCATTGCTGCCCTCTTTCTGCTCGGAGTCTTCTGGAAACGTTGCAATGAGATCGGTGCATTTTGTGGTGGCATGACTGGCTTTGTGCTAGGCACCACCCGCCTTTTACTAGGCTTTATTTATCGTGAGCCAAAGTGTGATCAACCAGATGAACGTCCAGCTTTTATCACTCGTATCCACTACATGTACATTGCCGCTGGGCTGTTTTGGATCTCTGGGTTGGTGGCTGTGGTTGTCAGTCTATGTACTACCCCTCCAGATGAGGAGAGGATCAAGCGGACCACAATGTGGGGCTTGAGGAAACTGAGGAGACTTGTTGTGACTGAACGAGAGGAGATGTACAAACTCACTAATGGCAGTGGTAATGGTATCCTCAAGAAAGATGTGCCTGAGGATGTCCAGAAGGAGAAATGCCTCGACGGGGCTGACATTAAACTTCTTCTGCCATCCCCCTGTGACCAAGATCCCACGACTCCCAACACTGAGGCATCCACACCAATGGAGTTGTACGGCAACGGTCACGCAAAGCTTGTGAAACAGAAGGATGAAAGCCAGAGTGATGATGAGAGCTGCCTGCAAGTGATTGATTGGATTTGTTGTCACAAGGAAAAAACATCTGTAGTCGAACCCAAATTCATTAAAGAGGATGAAGAAACTATTCGTGAAATGCTTCACGAACCTCCTAAGATCAAGCTGTTACTTAACATATGCCTGGTTCTGATCTGTCTGCTGGGTATTTTCATGTTTGTGTACTTCTCATTGTAATGTTCAGTTCGTACAGTACCTTAAGGCCTGTGTGAAAGTCGACACATTTATATGAACTATTTGTTACTACAAGCCACCTAGGGTCTGTAATATTTACAGTGTGAGTTATCTTTCTTTTTATAACTTCCATTTAGGGACTTTAAATATTTTTAATCGTACTGATAGAAGTTATTTATTTTTCCTCTTCAGCTCTGTCACACCTTAAATATTTATATTTGAGCTGTTCTTCATGGCATTTTGATGACCAAATGCGTTAATGAAACAGTAGCATTTATATAGCTTAGACTTAGTTGAGCTAAGCTAATGGAGACTTGGCCTATACTGCTTTTTTCCTCTGTGAATTTTGCCTTAATATGTGCACTCCAAACCGTATTGAGGGCAGTTTTTTGCCTCTGGTTATTTCTGTTTCTTAGTGATTCCTTGATATAGTACTTAAACGTGTAAAGCTGTCTTTCATATAAGCAAATATGTCATTGTAAGCACCACCAAGTTTTTTTTAAAAACTTGACCTCATAAATTTGTCACTTGTATAACTGGAGTTGTGTTTCCAAAGTTTTGTGTGACACCGTTATCATGAAATTAATTTCTTTTGAGAAAGAAATGGTTGGGAGTTTATCATGATGTAAAAGTTTTATTTAAAAAATGTATATTTATTTTGCTTTAAAGATGCTAAAGATATCTCTAAGGTGTTGTACCATTGCTGTACATTCCCAAATAAGCAACTGTTTGGTCCATTCATGTAAATTGTATCTGTAACTCTGTATGTGAATTGCTGTATTGTTCTGATTGGTTTTATTTATATTTCTTTGATTATTGACTTTAGAGGTACTTTCTTTGAAAAACAAAACACCAGTTGCCTTTTGTGCAAAGCAAACTCCACAAAGACACTGCGCCAGGCTTCTTTTTGGGAATATAACATGATTTTTGTGAAAAAGATGTTATCATCACAAAACAAATCATTCACAAAATGCAGCCACAGATTGAGGATGTTAATGAAACACCCTCACAACTATTTCCCGAAAGACTACTCGAGAACACTGTCAGTTATGTTGAAATCTGATATTATGATATCTCAAAGTTATCAAGACTGGGATGTCCGATTCTGATTGCTGCGCAAAACAGTATCTTGTTCTTCTAGAAGAAGAATTTGATTATAGCTGCAGTAACAGGCATTGCCTGTTGTTGATCTGCTGTTGAATGCTCCATTTGTTCAGACAAAGGGGAAATGCGGAGATGGCCTTAGTGAGTATGAAATGTGCGAGAGGGATTTTTTTCTATAAAGATGTAACTTTTTTTCTTAAAGTGCAAACTCACAATGTTGTATTAATATCATCACAGTCTTTGTTAAATGAAAGTTTAACCTAAGGATGCAACAGAAATTCAGAAATCAGTTATCATAATAATAAAAATTTGCCAAGAATGCTGGGGTAAAACCCCTACTCTCTTTTTTTTTTTTTTTTTTTTCAAAGGATATCCTGGGATTTTTAACGACCACAGAGTTAGGACCTCAATTTAACATCTTATTCGAAAGATGACGCTCCCTGAGCAATATAGAGTCCCCTTCACTTTACTGGGGCGTTAAGACCCACACAGATCGCAGGTTGAGCGCTCTCGCTGGCCCCACTAACACCACTTCCGTCAGCAACCTAGCTTTTCCATGTGGTTTCTCATCCAGGTTCTGACCAAGCGCAGCTCTGCAAAGCTTCAGTGTGCAACCATTTGAGAGTTGCAGAGAGCTAGCTGCCAGCTTTATTATTAAATAGTCATTATTGAAATGAGCAACGTTAAAATAAATGTTTTTAAGGGCCTTCCAGACGTCATTATGATGAAATAAAATGTACTGGGGATTTGCTTTAGGTCTGGATGTTTTCAATTGTAAATTAAAAATATGCTTTTAGAGCCATTTTTGCACAGATCATTTTTGGAAAAGAGGTACATAAATAAAAAGAAAATATACACATGGCTCTTTTTCATTTTTGCTTTAAAATAAATTAATTTTGTTTTAGTTTCTTATGATCCTTGTGAATGTTATTCAATGATTCCTTTCTCAGATCATATTGTTCAGTACTGATATATTGCACAGTCAATATTGTGGTGGACCTTAATCGCAAAGTGAATGAGCGCTATCTTTATTTATTAAAGTGAAATCTACTTAAAACTAAACGTACAAGTTTGATGAGCTGCTGTACTTGTGTAAGATAGATCCAGAATAACTGTTTTCACCCAAACCTGAAATTAAATAACAAAATATACTGTGAGCAAATTTTCATAAGTTTTGGATGCTGGCATTTGGATACACCACAAGCTTCCGAACCAACATCCAAACTTTTTGAATATTAATCCATGCATTTACTAGTGAAATGATGAGGTTCAGAACTATTTTGAAGGCACTTAAATGTGAATTTAAAAGCATTGTTATTTCATTTAATGTCATTTATTAATATACTATATAATAAAATATGTTTCAACGTAGCCTTTTATGACAACAAAGGTTTTTTTTTATGTGGTTTTATTAATTTTATATTTTACATTTTTACTGAATGATGGGAAAAGCAGATGTTTCTGTTGTGGGATCTGGTTTAGAGTTTGTTCAAGTGTGAGATTCCTTGTGCTGCAGAAATTGGGAGTTATCAGTTTCTTTGTGATGTGTTCCATGATCTCTGAGCTACATATGGAGTTTACTGAAATACGCAAATGATTTGTACATTGCACATTTGCTACTTTTATTATCAAAAGTTGCAGATTAATAAAAAGACATTCATTTGAAAAGGACAAACTGTGTGAGCTTGGGTTATTTGACTGTAAATCGTGCGTCTCATGTAATCTTTAATTAATCTTTTACATGTTTGTACTTTCAGCAGTGAAAATTAAACCACACTGAACTGAACTAAACTGAACTTTAACTCTGAAAACTGGACTGACACAATTTTTAATTTTCTAGAACTTCTATGTTAAGCTGCTTTTACACAATCTACATTGTAAAGCACTATAGAAATAAATGAACTGAATCCTCCATTATAATGCCTAAATCCCATTATTGGCATTTGTACAATAATCTGTTAAAGAACTTCCTCTTAGTTGGAAGTTTACTGATATAATATGCTGATAATAATTCTACTATATAAAGACAGTTACTTGAATATGTCCATTCTAACAATTGTTTGTATTTTCTGGTGTGTGATTTCACACTGATACTGTGTGCACATGGATAATCACATTTACAACTGAGTTTACATGGTAGCTGTGAAATGACTCAGCTGTTGAAATTGGCATAATTATATAGACACTGGTAATTTACTTTAAATACATGTAAATTTGAGAGTACATGATGGATTTCGGGTTATGCTGTGCTTTGTGAGCAAAGAGTACATTTCTGATTGGTGCAGATATTATACACTACCTTTAACACCACCAATTATTTTGTGAGTACTGTTATTTTTTAGTATGTTATTTTATTTTTAGAAGTAATACCTTTTCCCACTTAATCTATGCTATATGTGATTAGTAAACTTAATATGAAAACTGCTTTATTGATATATATATATATATATATATATATATATATATATATATATATATATATATATATATATATATATGGTAACACTTAACGTACAATAAAGCAGTATTAGTTAGCTATCATTAGTTACACAAATTAACAATAAACACATCTATGAAGCATGACTTAATCTTTGTAATGGTAAATATATGGAGAAATGCATTAGTTAACATGAACTAATGCTAAATAATGACTGCTCAACATTACATAATCTTTGTTAATGTTAATTTACACATTCTAACAAATCTCTTTACATTAACAGCCTAATAAGTTAATGTTTACTCACACATACACTAATGTATTTGTTAATGGATTAGTCAACCTAGCAATGAACAACACATTTATTCAGCAATACTAAATCTCTGGGAAATGTAAACTTACAAAAATAGTGATGTGTAGTTAATGCATTGTTTAACATGAACAATAAACTTAGACTCAGATTAGGTACAAGAATTTATAGAACCTTATTGTAAAGTCATAAAAGTACAAATGTGTCAAGGTTTGAAACTTAACTGACAACTAACAAAGCAAACTTGACTGGCAGGGCAGAGCAAGACAAGACAAGGCAGGAACATGACAGGAGGGAATGACGATAATGAACTGGCACAAGACAGCGGACATGCCAACAACATCTCACGGCAGTTCATTACATTTTTGACTAAATAGCTAATTTGATTTTATTCGTACAATTTAGTATGATTTGCTTATTCCCCAATGACGGCTGGGTTTAATGGTGAAGTTGGGGAAAACAAATCAAGAAATAAACAGGTGAAAAGAATAAACTTATAATGTGGTATCAAGATGGGTGGGGTAGACAATCACCCTTTTCACATTTCCAGGTTCTCAGTAGCGAAACATAAATCATTAATCTAGTATTGAAATGAGAGAGTGTAGTGTGTCTGATCCTTGGACATTAACAGGAAGGCTATTCCACAGTTTAGGAGCCATATATGTGAAGGCTCGACCTCCTTTAATGGACTTTGCTATGGGTACTAAAAGGCCTGAAGTTTGAAATCTTGAAGAGCGGGTTGGATTGTAGCAAGACAGAAGGTTGGTTAAACAGGAGCTAGAGTATATAAAGCCTTAAAAAGTAAGAAGCAATATTTATAATCAAGAACTCTGGCAGCTGCATTACTAGACTAGACTGAGAGACCATTTAAAGGCCTTTGCGGGTGTTTTAACTTAATTAGCTGAGTATAGTGTGGTGGAAATTTTCTGAGATACTGAGTTTTGGGTTTTCATTAGTTGTCATCAAGATTTTTAAGAAATAAAATCTTGAAATATATCAGTCTGTGTGGAATGAATGTATACAGTATACAAGTTTCACTTCTTGAATGGAATTAGTAAAATAAATAAACTTTTTGAAGATATTCAAATTATATTAATTATATATACACACACACACACCGGAAAGAAGATTTTTCTCAACACAATTCTAAACATAATGGTTTTTATAACTTATTTCTAATAAATGATATATTTTTATCTTTGCTTAGTTAAGGTAAATTATATTTCACTAGATATTTTTCAAGTCACCTCTATACAGCTTAAGGGGTAATATTTCTGACTTTATCTGTATATACACTGCTTTTCTTCCAGGTCAAAAAATTGTTATGAGGGTTAAATAAATCACTGCATCTTCACTTGTCCTGATTTCCCTTCTCTCTATCTTTCTCCATTTTTCTCTCTCTCAACAACATGAGAGTTACAGGGTAGTAGTTTTCCACTGACAGCTTCCATTCAGATGTATGTTAGGTATGAAAGCGACTCAGTGGAAAACTTTCTCCACGATGAAAATGCGTAGGTGAATAATTGTTTTGACATAACCTCCACCTCACGCTTTTGTTTGGCAAAGCCCTACAGGGCGTTAGTAAGGTGTGCCACTACTGTATTTGATGTTGCCTTCTGTGGAAGGTAAAAGAAAAAAAACAAAGGGAACACTGTTCCGGGGATCCACAAGTGAGAGAATCTGTTTTGAGCAAAATACATGGCCATTGCAGGCAGTAAGCCCTTTGAATAATGGCTTGAAATTTCACCTGAATGGGAGATTCAACATTACTTGTCGAGTCAAAGGGATAAGCTGCTTGTCTAAACTGAATTCAGCACTGAAAATGACAGATTCATCTATATATCCATATTATTACAGTAAAATAAGGCTGTAGGTCAATAGAGTAAACAAATAACTATCACTATACATCTCCAGTTGATTACGTTAAGGATCACTAACAAACATTTTTTGAAAGGTTTCCTAAAATGCAAATGAGGCATTATTTCATTTTTTTGTTAAATATGCACTAATTTGCATACATTTCTGGCACAAAAAAGATATTAATTTAATTTAATTTTTACATATTAAGAGTCAACTTCTTTTTTTTTTTTTGAAACTTTTTTCCCCACTCATTTCACATCACTTTTTATCACTATAATAAATAATAATAAAAAAATCAACTAAAGCTCAGAAAAAAAAATTGTAAACTAAATTGTTGTAAATGGTAACGCAGATTTGATTTATTAATATAGCCCTTTCTAAAAATCTTCACAAAATAAGTATATACAAAAATTGTGAAGTTTGGTGTATGCAAGTGCTTTTGAAGCAGAGATTTCTGGCTCAGTGCAGATGAACATTATGTATTGTGATATAAATCTACAGTTTCAAACTGTTTAAAGTCTAAAATCTCAAAATTGTCAGGTACGTGAAAGAACAGTGTTTTGCCTGCAGTTAAGTTTTGAACTTTATCTATGAAAGAAACTGAGAATAACTGCTAAACAGATGGAGTGCACATCTGACTGAATTCAGTCAACATACAGAGCTGTTCTGTGAAAACTTATACTGGTTTATTTGGTTAATGTTACTGTGACCTTGTTTTTTCTATCTCTGTTTTTCTCCTGAGTCTGGTACTGCTTCTACAGGCAGTGGAAAAATACTGGCTACACAATACTGTGGGCTGCTCTTTGTTCATTGTTGTAGCCAAAGAGCAACAAAAAATCTATTTCAACATCTATTAGACATGCACATTTGGCCTGACCACTTCTTCACAACTAAAGGTCATAGCGGTGGGAATTGCACTCTTAGCAAAATATGCCCCTGAAGCTTATGACCAGTTCAAATGAGAGAATGCAGAGAGTAGTTCAGAGAGCTTATTTATAAAGTTTTATTTACACAATATACGACTGTGTTCTTTAATAAATCCCTTTTTCTTCAATATTACTATCCTAAAGGTGCAGTAGGTGATTTCTTTAGAATTTTTATTTTAATTTTTTTTTGTCGTGCTGGTTGAAAGTCTCCACATTCCAACAGTAATGATTAAAGTAAATGATCTAAATGTATTTATGTTTTTTTTTATTCTGGGTAAAGCATAAGACAAAAAAATGTTCAATTCTGATAAGTAGCTCAAACTGTCTGTCAGCAAATGTATAGTTGTACATCTGTGCAGCTGTTCACACAGAGCAGTGCACACGAGAGAGGGGAGAGAGAGAGAGAGAGAGAGAGAGAGAGAGAGAGAGAGAGAGAGAGAGAGAGAGAGAGAGAGAGAGAGAGTCATTTTCTTTTTGGTTTAGTCCCTTTATTAATCTGGGGTGACCACAGTGGAATGAACCGCCAACTTATCCAGCATATGTTTTACGCAGCAGATGCTCTTCCTGCTGCAACCCATTACTGGGAAACATCCACAAACACTCATTCACACACATACACTATGGACAATTTAGCCAACTCAATTCACCTATAACTTTTTTTGGACTTGTGGGGGAAACCGAAGCACCCGGAGGAACATGCAAACTCCATACAGAAATGCCAACTGATCCAGCTGGGGCTTAAACCAGCGACCTTCTTGCTGTGAGGCGATTATGCTATCCATTGCACCACCCGCCCGGTAAAAACAAATGCTTAATTAAAACGTTAAAATCCTGAATCGGTATTGGAGTTACTTTAGCACGCTGGAGGAAGGCTGACACTATGGCTGAAGTGTTTCTTTTAGATAATGTTTCTGTTTTAAAACTATTTTGGCAGATCATCTGCGCCATTAATCAATAATGATGACATTTAGACATTTCAAAGGTACTAAGAACAGACTTTTTACTAACAAAATAGATAAGACACTGTATTTGCAGTTTTCCTCCAACTGGGTTTTGCAACCTAATATTACTGCTGCATTGTTTATTTGCAAGTAAAAGATGTGACAACCACTACACATTATTGATTCACCATAAAATGCAAA